TTCTCTCAACCAATTTCTCTTTCAGACTCAACCGATGGTCGATGTACTTCGAATTTCGGTGCAAGCATCCGGCAGACATCTCGTCGACATCGATCGTTAATGCTCGACGAACTGACCTCACGTTATCTTTAATATTTTAGGTCCTTTTGGATATACGAGACTGCACGGCGTCGCGTAAGAAAGGACGGTATTTTCTATCGTCGTTTCATTCAATTTTAGTGTCCTTTCTGTTATTTTGTTTGATTTCGGTATAGAAAAATTACCAGCTGTTTATTTTATTGATTATTTACAAAATTGTAGAAATTAACACAAAATATTTATTTTTATTTATATGATCGAAATCACCTACACACACACACGCTTAACGTTTTAAAATATTAATTTTATAACCTACATGATATATATTTCTCAGACTGAAATCCAGACTGCGTATTCTTGTAAAAATTTTTCAAATGAATGATTGACAGCGCCGATTACGAGAGGGGAATTTTCTGTAACGCTGTTTCGCTTATCCATCGATCGGCGCCAAAGCGTTCGCCGTATAATGGTTTCATTTTCCATTTGTATCTCGCCTACTCTAACGCTCCAATATCTCTCGTCCCGCCGCGCTTTAATAATATTACGCATTGTTGCGAGCGCGGTATGCACGCTTGTAAATTCGCCACGGTTTTCCGCCAATTTCGCGGCTGCGAGCCAGACGCGCTCACTCTCCCTTCCTTGCCGCAAAATCGCCGCGGGATACTCCGCTATTTCGATTATAGACGTAAATATCCTTTTTTTCTTTTCACTCGCCCTCAACATCGATTTACACGCATGAAATCTCCCGCACTGCCGTAACCTGAGTCGTACGGAGTTTTCTCACAAATTTTCACAAAACACGGCTGATTCCGTATTCGACGAAGAAGTTCTTGACGAGAACTTTTATACAACTTTCATTTATGTATTTTTTTTTCATCTCAATACATTTATTCGACGTGTTTTAATAACGTAATTTAAAACAACGCTGAAGAAACATCTCTATTTTCTGCGAGGAGATTTACACACGTACTTCTAACTTGTACACGTCGTTGTAAAAAGCTCAAAACAGCGAAAGTAGACATCGACCTGCGCAAATGGCGCGCGGAAGACAGAAGAATCTCCTTCGCTGATTTTCGCGCGAGGTAAATCTGCCGTCGTCGTCGGGTACCGAGCAGAGAGCGCGGCAGCGTTGAAACGCGTTGGTGCACTCGGTAAGGATGGGAAGGTTACGAGAGGGTGGCTAAAGAAGCCGGTAGTAAGAGAAGAAAGAGAGAGAGAGAGAGAGAGAGAGAGAGAGGAAAGGTTCCGGGCTCTCGAGTCATTTCTCCGAGCCAACACAGACCTCTCAACTCGACGCCACTCGTGGAAACGAAATCTGATACGAGAAAAGCTAAACTCCTTCAAATGCACAAGCCGTCCTCTGTTCACCCCCTATCTGCCTTCTCCCGCCTGTATGTACCAACTCTTCTCTTCGCCTCCTTATTCCCCTACTCGGAGTTTGCAACCCCCTAAGCGTCCTCCTCTTTCCCGCCCCCCTCTCTCTCCTCTCGTTCCTCTCTTTCGACTCTTGCTCCTTTCAGCTACCCACTTATACTCAGTCAACCCTTTTCATTGCGAAAACGTCGTTCTGCAATTCACCCTTCCTCTCTCCTTTCCTTTTTCTTCCGTCCTTCTCGTGTTCTCGCTGTTTCTCTCGTTGCCTCTCTCCGCACTTTTCTTCCCTTTTTATGCGCCGCTCGAGGACGCTCCACTTCCTTGTCAATGTTCTCGTCTTCTTACTTTCTCTGCACCGGAGAGAAAACTCCGTCCTTCTTTTCTATCACTCTATTCCCGATCGCGAGCATTACCCGTCGCACGCCTCTCCTCGAGGAGCGTACAGCCGCTCGACTTCCGACTATTTAACCCTCTTAATTAACAGTCGGCGTAAGAGCCTCCGATTTGGCCTCTTCTATGGCGCGCGACCTTCTTTGGAAGAGTCGAGTCGAAGCCTTTCGTTTATTTTCCCTTGTTTTTTACTTTCATGAGTAAAGAGATCGGTAAAGAACATTTGTTTCGTACGTAACTGTACAAAACATCGAGTAAACCTAAAACAAGCGGAACAGAAATCCGAGAATTATCTTAACTTTGTTGTTCCGCATTTTTATTGCGATTTTCTTTCATCATTTTACTCGGTTATTTTCCCATTTTATTCTCGGTTTACTCCGGACAATTTTTTTTAAATAATTGCCTCGCTGAAAATCGCGTTACGCGGTGATGCATCGCGTTACCGTCAAACCCGTCCGCTTCCGGAGTAGAATTCTACTCGCGTGATGCATCAAATAATGTATAATTTCAGTGGATCGCATGCGCGGGAAAGGCAACAAAGTGAAGTCACGTCGTGCGTCTTCGTTATGCGGCTTATTCAACTCATTCGTTACACGAGTTGAGATTCTCAGAGAGTAAAACCGAAAAATTTGTAGTTTCACTTGTGTTTTGCGAAATAATAATTTGTTCGTTCTGTACTTTTCTGCCGTTAAATTATGCATAGAACTTATAATTGCAAACTCTAATGGAATTTTCTTAGCTAGCACTCGTGTTCCAATGCAACTTGTTTATATCAGATTACTTATTTTATAACAAAAATTACATGTACGAGGCAGAAATTTAATAAGTAATAACTAAACGTAGTTTTTGCACAAACAAAACCCAACTACAAAACCTGAAAGAAAATAGCTCATTAAAATTAAACAATTAAAAAAATCAAATTAAAATAGCTATGTAGTAAAAATGCGTTATACTGCCTAGTACTTCTCGGCGATTTAAATCGCCACGGCAATCGTACTGTGCGTTCACACTTATTGCACCGCAACTGCGGTGCTCGAACATGAAGTGTTCGAAGCGATGCCAAGATGATGCTGCCGCCGCGCGATGCGCAAGGAAAGCTCGACGTCGAGTGTTGCTCGACGGGTCAAGGAAACATTTTTCCAAGCGAACATTTTGAAATAATGCATCACCATATACATGAACTAAAATTTTTAATTAAACTTAACACTCTGTGTGCGTGCAAAAAAGAAAGTAAATAATTTAAAAAAAATTAACTGTAAAGGAACTTATAAATTAAATTAAATGGAAAGATTTCACGCGGGATTGTAAAAAATGTGCAAGATACATATTTAAAGATTATAATTGCTGCACGTATTATTAAATCTACTCTCGCATTAATGAAAGAAAGATTTCGGGATAGAGTTAACACGTAATGAAATATCAAATTTAATTAAATGTAATTTATGATCGATTTAGTCATATTCGGCGTATCGCGCGAGCATTGTTGACGATTCGCAAGCGGCTTCATAGAAATCGTCGCGCGCTCAGAGCTCGCGCCCTTTCGCTCTCGATCGATAATAATTATTCTCGTAAATTCAGGCATAAACGCGCGCGGCATATGAAGGGCGGAGGCCGGAAGAGAGAGGGAAGAAGGAGGGATGAAATCGCCGGGGCCTGCTCGGTTAAATGCTCGTAATGACGTCTCGTAATTGCATCGAAAGTTTCCAGGGAAACTGTAATTATCGTACGGGCTCACTTCCAGCGATATCTTCGGGTCCCTTCTCCGCGCGCGCCCTGTAATCGACGGGAACGCCAAACCTGAAGAAAGGAAAGCCGCTTTTCCGACGGGAATATTTTTCCAGCCGAGCGAGGACGACGCGGCGTTATCTCGAATCGAAAAGAGGATCGAGAGGGCTTCATAATGGAGTCCCGGCCTCGGATATTTCAAAAGAGAAAGAGAGAGAGAGAGAGAGAGAGGGGAGATGCTTAAAAGTGCGTCATTTGAAATTTTCCCTAATCCCTGCTCCAATTAAATCAATTAGCGCGCGAGGAGAAGGATTGTTCAGTTCTCTTCATTTGTATATGGCGCTCGCGTGTACACTTTCCGTCATATAGCCAGTTTTAATTCCCGACTGCTTTTTGTTGAACGCCTGCAATTCACTTTACAGGATCGACGTATATTCTATCTATAAATTTCCTCACAGCCACATCGGTTTTCCTAATCTGTTCATCAACTCATTTAATTTAATATCTTCTATTGATATTCCAAGCTGAAAAGGCAATAAATGATTTTAGCACAAACACCATAACCTTACATTCGTATTTACTGGATTTTTGCGATTTAAATAACTGGTTTCACTGCTCGTAAAACCGGAGACTAAACGGAAACGAAAGATAACGCGGGATTTAACGTCAACAACGTAATTCCGAACGTGGTTTATGCGACTCCCGAGATCACAGAATTCTGTGAATATATTTTTCTCGATCTCTGACAAATATATGTGTTTATTAATATCCGGACGATTAATATACGTTTGTTCTCACTTGCGATTAAGATGCGAGAACCGATAGGCTCTCTCGAGAAGCATAAACAGTCCCGATGATAAACATGACACACACACACACACGCATACATTGTTCGTAATATACGACCGTTTTCGCGCTTTGTATCGATGATTACTCCAAGACTCATCGAGTCCGGCCACGATTGATTTGAATAATTTATTCGAACGATCAACGATATTAATATTCATTATTCGGTCAATCATCGGCACTCGGATAATTATCCGCGTAAACGTTCATTATTCGGCTAAGCGGATGCTGCGTCCGCCGATTGATTCAGTACTCGGGCATACGAGCGCTATCCAAACATTTCTATCGGCAACACAACGCGCCGATACCGTACAAGCAACAATCATGATTTGCGAGCCAGAGATGACCAAACTCGCGCTCGCATCGAAAGATAATCACCCCGAAGCTACGCGCGTGCTCGCAATGTCTATATTGGCTTCGTAACTACGTTTTATGATATCCATCGCGTACGAAGATAATGACTTTAGTCATCACTTGGTAATATATATGTGAATCTACCGCGTGCATAGTCGTGTAACGATCACGCAAATTAAATCATGTTTTTTTCTCAAGTTGATTGCAACTGTATTATAAAATATTTTACTCACCCCGCTGAAAGTCTTTACGTTGTGAAGAGCATTCTGCGCCGCCAACGCCGCTTTTCTGGTGTAAAACGTTACGAAGCAACATCCTGTAACACAGAAACGTAACAATTGCAATTAAATAAGCTGCTTTACGAGAATTGCGATGTAACATTCTTTTGTTAATCAAGTTTTTTTTTTTTTTTTTTTTTAATTAAGCAGTTTTTCGTGGATTTGTCGCTGTTGAGATGCTGCAAATTTTCACGTTCTTCCCCGGTCGATTTATCTCACAGTGGACGTTTTATCGACAGACTAGTTTGCGAATTTCTCTGCTCAACCGACGCGACGAAATTTCTGCAATCTGCCGCAGAGAGTCGCGAAAAAAACAGCGAGATACAGAAGTTATCAAACCACGTCGCCACTTTCTGGCAGAAGCGAATGAAAAGTTTTTCGGGCATTTCGGGTCATCATACCCGCGCGATGCGGGCTCCCAACAAGAAACTCCATGATAGACACGAATGGCCGCGGAGTTCGCGCCACCGGTGACAGCTTCGATATGGGGTTGGGAAACGACCGACGGGGGGAAAGAGTGAAGTCGGCACTCGGGGACCTCATCAAGGGTCTTCCGTATCCCCCTTCCTGCCCCCGCTTGTCGGAGGCTGGACGCCATCCAAGCCTTCAACCCGGTCGATAGTTACGAGTTGCCAAAAGTTCGATACGCCGTTCTATCGTTGGCGAGATCCCCCTTTTCCCTTCATCCACCGACACGACTCTTCCCCTCTTCGGTATCTCTAACGTCCCAGGTGAATCGTTAGTTTATCTACAGCCGGAATGAAGATGCTTGAACTTTGTATCGGAGAGAAGAATATAAAAAGAATTTTGCAAAGATTATAAAAAAATATGTAACAAATTTATTGGTGTTTATAAAATATTAAGTAGTATATTGTGTTGTCTACAATAAATTTAAATTTAAAAAATGATAAATGAAATTAAGCGAAAATTAAAACATCTTCGTCAAAATTTCTCTTCCCGTGGGAGACATTTATAAATAAACAGTATCCTCAATTTGTTTTCCGCCGGTTTTTGAATCTTGCGCAGCACGCGAGGCAATTTGCGTTTGCCGACAGATTGGATTTTCCAGAACTCCCATTGTGCTTAAGTAAATAACAGATAATTAAGGCGTCGCGTACGCGAAGTTAGTGGCACCGTAAGTTAATAACGATCAGATTCAATTAACAGATTTCCCCTATTTACGGTGTACACGAAATTATGATAAACCTGCTACGGGGGGGAGGGAGGAGGAGGGAGAGGGCGCGCCAAGCGCGGAGTGTAATTATAATGCGATCGCGGTAATAGTTTCGGTAACAAGCCTTCCAATTACTCGAGGAAATCCCGATATTCCACAATGTTTTGTTTGGTAACGCGATATTCAATATCGCATTGAATAACGCATGGTACCGCGATGAATGCATAATTGCGAATCGTGCAACCCGATCCGATGGCAGTAGGGTGCGGACGGAATGTTAGAACCGACGTATTAGTTTGCCTAATCAAAAAAGGAGTTTGCTCCAGACGCGGTTACGTACAAAATCTCGTTTATCCCTACGTAGTTCGAGATTACGCGAGGAATAACTTTAGAGAAATTGTTTTGATAACAAGATAAGTAACAACAATTGCAAAAACGTGATATTTTTGAAATGCGTGTCTAGCGATTGCATACAATAAACAAAATTGAGACAAAATATGTTTTTTATCTGTGAATATTTGCGAGTCGAGCTTTCATTTCAAGCGTGAGGTGAAGTTTCTCGCGTGTAGCGAGAGAAGAGACATTCTTAACGTGTTGCCAGCGAGTTTCAGTAAATTACGGAGTGAAGACACAGCCGGGGGCCGGGAAATTACGTTCCGGCGAGTAAGTAATCTTCAGACATCATCGCTCGATAGACCTTTAAATCACCCGCCTGCCTCCACGCATCCTATCCGTCGGTCGGCCTGTTGTAACGCTCGTGTCTACAAATGACCTCGCCCGTTCAAGTATCAACATCACTGTCGCCTTACCTCTGCAATTCTTATCGATGAATTGTATTTTCCATCTCTTTTATTCGCAATTTCCAAAAAATAAAATATATTTCATCTTGATACAAATTTTATGCAAATTGCGTTACGTTCTTCTTATCGATTCCGTCGCGCAATGAAAAATTAATATAATTACTATAACTCGCTAGATCCGCGACACACAATGTAATTGTCGTAATTGGTCCGCGCGCGTTGTATGCAAATTGAGATTAATAATTAATAAGTAAATTATTAAGCTGCGCGGCGGCGCGGAGTATTCCCAAGTGCACCTGCAACACGGTCCGAATGGCGATAGTTTCCGCGACTGTGTCGAGTTGCGAACCCGGTGTAATTTCCTCAACTAGTTTGGGACGGCGTGTTTTTGCCGGAGAGAAACAAACCCGGTCGGTCATTCTACATGAGCGAGACTTTGCTCAAAGAAAATGAGTTGTCAGATCGATATAGATAATTTAATATTACGCGCGAAACGATGTTAAATATATAAAAATATATCGCCGTTAATATAAAATATCTCGCCGAGCGACATATTTATTCAATATTCCGGGACACAATGTTAAATAAAAAAAAAATATTGTCGTTAGTATGAGACATAGCTGAGCTCGATCATGCAACGACGCGATTACATCGATAAACTGCTATTACGTTTGTGTCGATACTTTTACAAGCTCTAGCGGTGAGAGATTGTACATGTGCTATACTGATAGAAGATAAATAAAAAAAATTACTATAATAATTCTCAGACGCAAACAAAGCGCGAGGGAACAACTATGTGATGCAAATAGCTCGTTCATTTAATGTCGACCGCGTAATACACGGCGCGAAGCGGAGAGAATTATTCGTAGCGTTAAACAAAACGATCATTGTTAGCAGGTTTAGCGATAATGCCAACACGATATACATAGATTGTAAACCAATGCACCGAATTATTATCCAATTTATACGGTAATCCCCCGTCAGGACTAGAGGCGTAACTCGGAATAGTGTTGGCGCTCGAACAACGTCGAGGCGGAAAATTAGCTTGAGTTTTATACTGAAGCGCGGTAAAATTGCCGTTTTTCGTGTGATTGTGATTGCGGTCGGAGAAAATCTCAAGAAACGACGACGCGACCTCGTTGGAACGAGGGGAACGAGGGGAAAGAAGGAGAGGGAGAGGGAGAGATAGAAACATGGCGTAAAATCCTTGGAGTTACCTAAGCGGACGGGTCGTCATCATTATAAGCGAGAAGCGCGAATTTAATTTGCGCGCCGAAGTACGCCGTCTGCAAAAATCACCGTGAGGGCAAACGAACGAACGAACGAACGAACGAACGAACTAACGGGGGAATGCCCGCCATTAGGAATTCCCAATTCACGTCGTAATTATCGCTAATTGGACTCCGGATTACGCTCGCACGACACTCGGCGCGTGAAACACTCGTCGTTCGAGGCGCGAATTATGCATCGCGTGTTCCATACGTACTTCCGAAGGGCAGCCACCTTAAAGCTTCGTTCTTTCATAAGAAACGTGTGAGAGAGCGTATCTTTATCGAACAATCATTCGAATGATTGTTCAAAAATTACATTATTTTTATATGCATGTATAAAATATAACAAATATAACAAATTTAAACTCATATAGTATCAAATCTAAACGTAAATTATAACAAATTTAATAAACTAACACAACAGGCGCGCGCTATGCGCACGCTATTATTACTTTTATTTTATTAACGTATTGTGTCAATGAACATAATCTGTCACCGCGATGACAGCTAGTATATACGTCTTACAAACCATACATATAACCATACATAATACACATGATGTACATATAAAAGATGTCAGAAATAACGCATGAAAATCACACTCGAAAAATAGTGAAAAAAAAGAGTGGAAAAACAACACGTGACTACAGTCACGTGACTTTATTTTAGTCACGTGTCTTTAAAAACCGGATTGAAATGTCGCAGTACTCGTCAACACACAGAGAAACGGAACAAAGCATGACTGTCTTACAAACCATATAATACATATGAGAGGTGTCAGAAATAACACATGAAAATCAAACTCGAAAAATAGAGGAGGAGAGAAATGGAAAACAAAACGTTACTAACGTGACTGTATTTTAGTTACGTGTCTTTAAAAACGAGACTAAAATAAAGTCACGTGACAAAGAGGAAAGGAAAAACGAGACGTGACTAAATTCACGTGACTGTACTTTAGTCACGGACTTTACTTTAGTCACGTGGTGTTTTTTCTTTCTTCTCTGTCACGTGACTTTAAATAACGCAAGAATACTTTTTTGTTAGTGTTTTGTTCTGAAGCGATTGAGACTAAAACGAAAGTGATCGGTTCAGTCGTTCTTGAGATATTGCTCCATGAAAATCTTCTCACTTCTCAATCGTATGAATTTCGCGTATAAGGGGCACGTTCGAGCGCGACTTCGTTACGCGTGAACTTGGCGCGCGAGGCACTGCCGTGCCTCTTGATATGTACAACATGAATCGAGAAACACATCCGAGAAACCAATCAGCGTTGAGATAAAAGTGGCAGCAATCAATATCGAGAGAATCGATTGTGATTATTTACACAGGCTTTTTCTGGTAGTATTTGTACCAAATAAAAAGTATATTCACACGCAAGGGATATTTTTTTATTTAATATGTATAGTTTTCTTTTGAGCAATATAGAGAAATGGAAGCAAAGCATCAGTTGATGCCACATGATTACCATACGGCCGACCGATCGTCAGAAACGAGCGCTACTCTAATCCCACGAGCTCGCGGCTAATACCTTGATGCCGATGGGTGATTAGTGTCCGCCGGGAAATCTACCGCGGACATGACTGAGGGCTAATTTGTTTGTTTCCGCGTTCGTTTCCGAAACCCCCACGTGTCTTTCGCGCGCTCAACAACGACGCGAATGCATCTACGGTTTTAGCGCGATAGTCTATGTGTTTAAAATAAAAATAAAATCGACGCTAGATATCTTACCAGTAGCCGAGTTCTCTTGAATTTTTATTAGGGTAGCGGTTTTTCGACTGCTTGCGAAATTTTTT